CAGTTAATTCAGAGATTGTTATCAACAAAGGAAAAATATTTGCTTGCCTACGGGGGTGGGGGGGGGCCCTCAGGACATGTGTGCTATAAGAAGGTGTTGGTGAAGCCACAGGCTTAGGGACCAGAGAGGGCTGAGTTCAAATCCCAACTCTCTCACTTTAACTGTGTATGTGTGTGTGATTCTGGGAAGTAGCTTAAGCTTTCCTGAGCTTAAGCTCATGATTTTCATCTTCAAACTGTGGATCCTCCATCATTCATTTGACAAATAAGTTCACTTTGTGCCAGGCACATCTCCCCCTCGTTTACTTATGCTCTCTCGTTAAATTCTCACCACAGTGCTGTAAGAAATCTAGACAGTAGCTCCTCGACAAATGCTATTTGATCTCCCCCTGTACTCCTAATTGGTATATTCATTTAACAAACTTTGAGTGCCTGCTACGGGCAAGCCCTGTGCTAGGAGGCACGTGGCTTAAAGAAAAAAGCGTTAAAGACCATGCCTCAAGCTTCTCCATCTAGTTGGGGACGCAATCCAGAGACATATAATTAGTTATCCAATAGAATCACTATAATGGCAACTCTGTGCATAGAACATTATTGGAGACAGAAGTGAGAGACATCTATCCCAGCCTGGGCCAGGGGTGTGGGATGGGGACAGAAGGCAGGTGACACTGTGGCGAGGTGAGTAGGATGGAGGAACGGTTCTCCATTTCTCTGCCAGAGCAGCAACTGCAGAGGAAGTGAAGGGCACCTGAAAGCAGAAGCAGGTTAGTGTTTCTGAAGTACAAGGTCGAAATATGCAATGAGCAACAACAACAACAAAAATTATGTAAAAACAGAAGTACAATGCAGAGTGGCACATGTTAATGATCTGTTTCCAGGTTGTCTCTGATTGCTAAAACATCAGTAAGGGTTCTAATGACGTTTTTGTAGTAGCAATGGCTCCCCAAGAAATTAATCATGATAAAATGAAACAAATATGGCCAAACCTTTGTGTTTTAAAATATATCTTTAAAATTACATCGTGAAAATGCCTATCAGCTTGTAACTTTTTTTCTAATTAGCCGGTTCTTCCTCTGGCAGAGTAATCTGGATAAGCCCAATTCCCAAGGCCAGGACTTTTAAAAGCGTGTTGGAATCGGGGCTGATTCCTGTCGTTGGCTGGTGCAACCTTCTACTAATACGCAGATGGTGCTTTTTGTCCCGGACTGCTTCTGGAGGAGAGTGACCCACTGTCCCCAACTCAAGCCACTCACTGTACCACTGACCCCAAACCAATGGCCACCCCAAGCAGGACCAGGGATGGGATTTGACTGGCCGCAGGCCCAGAAACACCACAAATGGAAAAGCAGATTAACCATGGAAAAGAAATCCCTGTTAAAGCATTTATGGGGCTACGAGTAAACCCAGGTACACCTGCGACTAGAGCAGTCACTGCATGAATAAATTGCAGAAAGCAGCTTGCTTATACAGAGAGTGGAAATCCTAGACATGTGAATTTATTCTCTTTGCCACCCAGGGGAGCCAGAGACTCATGAAAATCTTATACAAAGCTGTTAAAGTTACAGGCCAGGGCAGGGAAAAGCAGTATTTTAGTTTGGACTTTTGTGGTTACAGGCAACGACAAAAAAAAAAAAAAAAAAAAATCAACCAGCCAACAAAACAAAACAACAGAAACAAAAGGGAATTTATTGATTCACATAACTTGAAAGGTTTGGTTGTGCGTCTGGTTTGGACTCAGCCAGGGGCTGCAGTGACATCATCAGGACTCGTTCTTTCTCCATCCACCTCTCAGCTGAGCTCTGCCCTGTCTCCTTTTCCTAATCAGATGGGCCTTCCTGGTGGGGAAAGGTGGACCCTGCAGCTCTGGGGTGACAGTTCTTACAGCTTGGAAGAGAAGAGCCAGTGGGTGTGAGCTGGTAGCTCTGGCAGAGTCATTGTGTAGGGTCACCTGCCCACTCTGGGGAAGAGTCAAACCACCAGGACCCCAGGGTTGCTGCAGAATGGGCAGGGGGTGCCACCTGGACATGCCAGGCAGGCAGAGCATAAAGCTCCCGACAGCTGGGGAGAAGGGCCTTCCATTCACCCAGCACTCTGCACAGTGCCGGGCATCGTGGGTCATGTGTGTCTTCGGAGATAACCTCCTGTCCTTCTGAGACAGGCAGCTTCGATTATCACCCCTGTTTTACAAAGGCCAGTGAGGCTCAGCTGGATTAAGTAATTGCCCTAAGGACAAGCAGTGAGCTGCAGAGCCAGGTGTTAAAATGCTTGAAATGAAGGGGAGGAACATGAAGGGATTCTTGGGGACATTGGGTTCGGGGGCTGGAAGCCTTGGATGTGGCGGGTGGGTGGCTGGGTGGGGAGGCAGGCAGCGTGAGAAAACAGAACAGAGTGTTTCTAAGTCATTCCTTCCCTTTCTTCAGGCAGAACCTAACCCAAAAAATCTCCAGCAGGTAAACCCCAGAAAATGGGCCACAGATTTTTTTCCGTTAGAGGCACAAGTTAATATCCGGTGCTGGGCAGCTTGTGGGAATGGGAGGGGCTGAGTCTTCAGGAGCCTGGGCGGAGCAGTCCTCAGTCTGGTCCCACACAGAGCAGGTCACTCGCCCCTGGGGGGAAAGGGCCTGGGAGGGCGTGGAGGCTGCTGTGGGTGCAGTCCCGTTCCCCAGAGGCTCTCTTGTCCTCCAGGGCCTCAACCTGCAGTTACTCAATCTCCCTGGTAATTGAGACCAAGCTGCCAACTATTGCCATCGGGCCACGGGGAGACAGCAGGGGTGGGGGCAGCCCGAGGCGGACTGACTGGAAGAAATGGGGGATTAACTGCACTTAGAGCTCTTCACTTTAAAACACGAACTAGAGGTCTCTGCAAGGCAAGGGTTTGTAATGAGAAAAGCTGGCATTTCGGTTTCTCCTTGAGTATACCTGGCAATGGGAGATGAGATGACACCCAGAGCCGATGTGACCTGCAGACAGATGAAAGCTGAAGACGGGGGAACCCAGGCCTCGCTCTTGGGAATCTGTTCCATCTGAGACTTGACTCTAGTTATTGTGGGATCATAACCAAAGCTCTAATTGGTTTTATGCTATTTGCATTTCTTAGTTTTCTTTTTATTTTACCTAAGAATGTTTAAACATTATATTCTGTTTTAGCTGTGCTAAAAAGAGAGGGGAAAAAAAGAAAACAAAAATTTTTGTGAGCCCGTGTTGGCGTTGATGGTATTTGGATGGCCTGGGCACCCCCAGGTCCTGTCCTGCCACAGCCACCTCCTGAAGTTTCTATAGAGGACAAAGCCAGGCAAAGGAAGCCTATTTCTATGGGGCCTTTGCTTCAAACCCCGATGTAGGAATCTGGAGTGGTGGTAGAGAGGATCTTTTTGCTTGGGTCGATGGCAGGTCCACACACGTTCACTACTCTGATATTCATTCAACAAACATTCACTGGGTGTCCATCAAGTATCTACCAAGTGCCGGGCACTGTTCTAGGCGTTGGGTATTTAGCAGTAAATAACACAGACAAAACCTTTGCCCTCCTGAAGCTTATGTTCTGATAGAGGGAGATGGACAAAAAAAAAAAAGAACAACTTGCTGTAAGTGCCAAGAAGAAAACTAGTGCAGAATAAGGGGACGGGTGAGACAGAGGATTTTGTGTGTATTTGTGTGTGTGTGTGTGTGTGCATGCACTCCTACTTTAAATAGGGTGGTAACAAGTGAGCAGAAACCCAAAGGAAGTGAGGGAGTGACCTACAGATAACTGAGGGAAGGGATTCTGAGCAGAGGGGAAAACACACGCAAAGGCCCTGGGGTAGAACCCTGGTTGGCAGGTTTCTCAAGTAGCAAGGAGGCTCATGTGCCTCGAATGAAAAACCAAAGGCAAGAGCGATAGGAGAGTGGGTCAGAGAGGTAGTTGGGGGCTTGGAAGATCATCTAAGGCCTTGTAAGACGCGATAAGATCTTTTATTTGCCAGTGTTAACAAAAATGACCGTGAAATCTATAGAGGAAGGAAAAAGAAAAGAAGAAAACTTTATTTTCAGAGTAAAAGTCTGCAGATTGGGGAACACAGCCTCCAGGGGAACTTAAGCACACCACAGAAGCATTCAAGCCTTCCAGGCTTATAAGTGTATTCATCAGGTTTGGGAAATGTCTATGAATATTTATAGAAAAGTCTAGCATAGCTGTCTCCAACCTTTTTGGTACCAGGGACCAGTTTCACGGAAGACAATTTTTCCACGGACGGGGATAAGGAGGTGGTGGTTGGAGGATAAGGAGGTGGGGGAATGGAGATGGGGGTGGCAGGGAGGGAGGTGGAGCTCAGGCGGTGATGCGAGCCATGGGGAGTGGCTATAAATACAGATGAAACTTTGCTGGCCACTTCCGCCGGCCACTCACCTGCTGCTATGTGACCAGGTTCCTAAGTTTCATGGAAGACTTTTCCACGGATGGGGGTGGGGTGGGGGGCACAGGGGAGAGGCAGAGCTTACGTGGGGATACGCAGCCTAGCTCCTAATGGGCCACAGACCAGTACCAGGCTGTGGCCCGGGGAGTGGGGACTGCATGTCTAGCACATATGCAGTGCATTAACATATATGTAATGTACATCCCATGTTTACTTTGGGGTGTGGTTTTAACATGAAAGTGATGTAGAATTCGGCTCTTTATGTCAAAAGGCGAACTACAGGGCAGGAAGAGATTTTGTGCACAGTCTTTGTAAAGTGGCTGGAACTGCCATAGGGACTGTAGCTGCTCATCAGAAAGGAATGTTTACAAGGCTGGTCTCCTGCCAAATTGGTGCTGCTGGCAGGACCCTTAAAGCAGAGGTGTCCTGGTCAGCTGGCATCAGGCAGTCCATCAAGGTCAGCTGGGCAGTGTGACTCTGGAACAGGTTTTTGCCTAATTGCAAGAGGAAAACTTCATGGCAGTAAACAAACCTTATAGTAGTTAACAATATAGGTGTATATGACCAACCCTTTTCCCTGCTATGGCTGCTTAATTTTCTCTTGTCTTAGCCACAGAGAGTCCATCCCATCTACCAGCTGGAAGTACAACGTTGACACTCTGAGTGAAATGCAAAGCTGCCAGAGAGTTTTGAGCAGAGGAGCGGACGTGATCCACATGATTCTCCAAGGCTCACTCGTGCGCTGCCTGGAGTCTAGAGCCACGCCACCCAACAGAAATACACCGTGAGCCACGAATGTGAGTGGTCTATACACCATTTAAAACATCTTTGGGTAGCCCTATTAAAAAGCAAAGAGACACAGGTGACAATAACTTTAATACATTTGCTTTAACCTAATATATCTAAATTATTAACAGTTCACGTATTCAATATAAAAAGTATTATTGAGGTAGTTTATAATTTTTTTTAATATATGATATCTTTGAAATCTGGGGCACATTTTACTCTCACGGCACGTCTTAATTCAGAATAGCCACGTTTCAAGTGCTTAACTGCCCTGCGTGGCCTGTTACAGATGGTGTCGGGCACAGGTCCTCACTGTAGAGCACAAGGTGACGCAAGGTCACCAGGAAGGATGTTCTTGCAGCGGTCCAGGTGACAGGTGATGGCGAGGCTAAGGGCAGCAGCCCTGCAAGGCCCAGCACTCCGTTAAGAGAGTGGCTTCTCCTAAGGCCGAGGGGAGAACCTGCTGACCCTCACTCCGCCACTCCGGAGCGCACAGCACCTCTTTATCTCCAGATTGTTGTGCAGGACTTCACCTTCCTTATCAGCACCTCCCACACGGCGTGCTCTGGCTGGGGAGCGGGGCAGCCCTGTCCTCCTCTGGAGGTCACAGTTTCCTCATTTCGGTTCTTGGCTTTGTTAAACAGAACTAAATTTGGCCTGAGGATGCCTTATGTAACCAACTGCAACCTAACTTAGCAAGCAATCTAACTGAAAGCCTAATTCAGGAATACATTCTTGTACCACATAGCTGCGTCTGAGCCAATCGCACGGGCCAACGGACTCAAATAAGCTAAAAGGCCGAGTCATAACCAATTACACCAGGCATCCTCAAAGTACGGCCCCCGGGCCACCTAGCACATTTATCCCGCCCTCTGGGTGTTTTTGCCACCACTGCCTGTCCTGGTTAGCAGCCGACTCGTCCTGGCCCACAGTGCGCACCCTCCAATGGTCTGAGGGACAGTGAACTGGCCCCCTGTTTAAAAAGTTTGAGGACCCCTGAATTAAACCGTCTCTGTGTCTCACTGCCGTTTGCTGTCCGTAAATGCCACCTGACCACATTGCAGGCCAGAGTTCTTAGAACCTGGCCCGTTCTGAGGGCTGCCCAAATAGCGAATCATTCTTTGCTCAATTAAACTCTGTTAAATTTAACTTTGTCTAAGGTTTTTCCTCTTAACAGCATGTTCACCCCAATGCATTTGATGATTGGGCTAACTCCAACCACCTTTCTGTCACTCTCCCAAGGAAAGGCTGGGGGAGAATTCTGGGTGCCCCTTATAGGGCCATGCTATGATTTTCATGAACCCCTTCTTCCACCAAAAAATACATAAATATATATGTATGTTTACTATTGGGTTGGTAAATAGATGAATATCTTGATATTATATGTTTAAATTTTTTTCTTCGATGTGAAAGTTCTTTTCCTTTTCTTCTGATTTTAAAGGAATATAAAACATTATTGTGAACCCCTAAAAATACTGTGAGCCCTAGACACTGTGCCTGCTGTGCCTAATAGAGCAGTCGGACCTGACCCCTTCCCAGAATTACCCTCCCCATCTTTTCTGTGCTGCCCCACGCCCTGAATCAGGAAGGTGGACATTTAAGCCCCTCAAGGCCTTTATGAATGTCTCTTAGATGTGGCTCCAGAGGTCTCTAAGGTGGATCAGGACGAGACATCAATTGTTATACTCAGGGTCACACTCTACAATAGGCCGAGAGGTCACCAATAAGCTATTTCAATGCCCAACTAAGTTTGCCGGGCAGGTTTATATAGAGAGCATGAGTTATGAACCCAGGTCAAATAATACGGTGCTGGTATATAAAATAACCCAAACTTTGCATCAACACACAACATTTTAACTATATGGACCCTTTCATTTTTTTCCCATAGAAAAGTTAAAGTTGAAGAGACACACAAATAAATGATGTACTTTTCTCATTTTCCCTTCTTCTACGTAGTCTGGACAGAGTCTCAGGTGCCTGGTGGATGCTGGACTGTTCATTCAATTGCCCAGTATGAGCTACCTGCCACTTGAGTTGACGTAACTCCATCACCACCTTCTGTGCAGTCACTGGGCTGTTCAATTGTGACTTGGTTCTCCTCCTTCCAGGCACGTTGTGGGACTAGGCTTTCCCTTTAAACCTGTGGCTGAGCATGTGACCTACTTTGGGCAACAGAATGTGAATAGAGGTACCGTGTGCTGCCTCTTGGTGAGACTCCTAAGACAGTGTGCAGTTTGCCATGTTCTCTCTCCTTGCCGTGGGTCTCCCGGTCGCTGATGGTGGAAGTGGTGGCCTGGGTCTCTGAGAAGCTGAGCCTCCTGCCAGCCTGAGATGGACGTGCATTGTGAGCAAAAACAAGCCTTTTCTTTTTGAAAGGGTTATTCGGCAATGAAGCATAACCTAACCCAAAACACTTCCATAGTTGCATTTCCAGGTCTCGTCTGTGCCTCCCTTTTCTAAAGTTCTTGGGGGGGGGGGAGGTCAATATAAAAGAATGTAACAGCTTGGGTTAAATTATAATACTTTTTATCCATATTGAGTGCCCTAATTGTGGTGACCTCTTCTATGAAAGGACGTCACACCCTCTCCCTGTTCAACCCATGTTTGGCCATCCAACTTACTCTGGCCAATGAAATGTGAGCAAAATGATGCATGGTTTGCTGTGATTTCTGCCCTCTGCCACAGCAACTGCTAATTGCCAGGAAGAGCCAGCCTTGTCATCCTGGGTCCTAAGGTCAAGACGATATGAGCAGAGCTGCACTTGGCTCTTGATAGTCGTGCAGTATAAGAGAGAAACAAATCCTTGGTGTGTAAGCCTCTGAGAGTACTGGGGTCATCTGTCACTGCAGCGTAGCATAGCCTAACCTGACAGAGACACAATGCTACCTCAAACCCACGAAATGTAGAAAGCTCCAGCAAATCGCAGAACTGAATATTGCCATTACTGCTGAAGAGGACTCTTCAGACCTTCTGCTCATTTTAGGCCTCTTCCCCCATAGTGGATAAGCCCATATTTATCCTTCCACTCATTCCATTTTTATTTCTCCTTAAAAGATGTGTTAGTCCACTCATTCCATTTTATTTGTGCTTTTATAGGAGGGCCTGATGGTCTGAGTGATCACACTTGAGACCTTTCCTAACCTGTGCTTTGCTGCTTGTCTTAAAGGTCAGGACTGACAGCAGGCATGTCCTTTTCGACTTCCTGCTTCCACAGAGCCTTGCTGCTGAGGGCGCACGTCATTCCTGTCTCCTCGATTGCCTGGGCAGGTGGACTTGCTCTGCTTGGCAGACCCGGCCAAATTAGCCTTGGAAGGAAGGAGGAGGAAGCAACAGACTTCACTCAACCCTTCTGGAGTTCAGCGGCGGGGTTATTGGGGCCCGCCCAGTTGTTCAAGCAATACTTTGGCTACTGTTCCTTGGGTGTATGATGCTTAGGAATAAATCCCCAGGGGGAAGAATGAATGAGTGGTCTGATTACCCCAAACCGCAACTCAAACCCCAACTCCTTTAATAGCATACACAGTCCATGTGTACCAATTTCCTTCTCTGTAGGTCTCCCAAGCAAAAGCAGCATTCTAAATAGCCAACGTATGTATTCATTCATATTGTTGTCACCAAATAGCCCTTAGCAGAAATTTTATGTCATCTTGAGGCAGAAGTAAACAGATAACAAAATAAAAAATAAGTGCCCAGCTAAGACCCTTTATAGGCCTATTTCAAATTGCTCCTTTTTTTTCAAATTAAAAAAAGGCTACATTTGGGGGATTAATTGGAGGAATGCAGGGAAATGAAGCTGCAGAGTACCACACAGAGACCACATAGAGTCGACTCACATTCTCCAGCCACCTCCCCACCAGGCAGATGCATGGTGAGCAAGGGGACGTGGCTGTCCTCACTGAACTCCGTGCCCGACGATTAGCACACGTAGCTCTGCCATCGGCAGTATAATTTCAACGACTAGAGAGAGCACTGTGGAGGACCACAACACAAAGTATTTTTTAAAGATCCTATTTTCTGCAAGTATTTCACAGTCAGATAATTCTCATAAGAAAAAGCACTGAGCCTTGAATGCCCCAACTGAATAGAATTTTCAGAAATGGGAATTGTGACTATTTAAAGTATATTCCTATTGTTTCTCAATCTCTCTCTCTCTCTATTTCTCTGATTCAAGACCTGCTAGAATAATTGGGCTTTTGGCTTATTTGGGGAAAAACTTTCACATTTGCAAATTAATGACCCAATCCTAGCTGAGATGGTAATGTCCAAAGACTTCATTTAATAAACAAACCCAGAACTGGATTTTTCAAATAGCCCTAGACCCTGAATTGGATTGTCATTCATTTATGCCCTAAGGCATCAGTCCGTGACTGACAGAAGAGAAAACCTAACTAAGCACAAGTGTCAGGGCAGTGCAAACAAAGGAAAGTAAATTCACTTGACTTTTAAACTGCAGTTATTCAGATAAGTCAGTCAAAACACCAACTTCTATGCCGGGCGAGGTGGCTCACACCTGTAATCCTGGCACTTTGGGAGGCTGAGGCGGGCGGATTGCTCAAGGTCAGGAGTTCGAAACCAGCCTGAGCAAGACCCCGTCTCTACCAAAAACAGAAAGAAATTAATTGACCAACTAAAAATATATATATACAAAAAAATTAGCCAGGCATGGTGGCACATGCCTGTAGTCCCAGCTACTCGGGAGGCTGAGGCAGCAGGATAGCTGAGCCCAGGAGATTGAGATTGCTGTGAGCCAGGCTGACGCCACGGCACTCACTCTAGCCTGGGGAACAAAGTGAGACTCTGCCTCAAAAAAAACACCAAACAACAATAACAACAACAACAACAACAACAAAAACACCAACTTCTGCAATGTGTCAATGAGGAAACTATGGGAACTTGAAACTACCTGTTTAAAAAAACCCTTTTTTGATGTTATTAATTTATAAGTCAGTTCAACAGGTATTTATAAACACCTGCTTTGTGTCTGGCTCTGTGTGGATACAGTGGCAAATTAGACAGGGTATAGTGACAGAATTATAATAGAATGTGATAGGTGCTACGAACATGATAGAAATACGTACAAAGAGTGTGCATCCTGGGCTGGGGGTGGGTGGGGAGACAAGGCAATCTATTGAGATATGAGAAGAAAAATCATTAGAAATTGTCTTTCTTTCTCATCTCATACTTTAATTTTTTATCTTTGTGTGTTTTTAGACATAAATAATTGGTATTATGTGCAGTAGCGGCACCTGTGTGGTTTATAACTAGATATAGGTAGATATCGTGCATAGCCAAGCGCTTAGGGACTGCTACACTGTTTAGCCCTGCCCAAGGAGAACAGGACAGGGATACTGTGTTCGATCTGAGATGTGGAAGACTCAGGGTGACTTCCCTGAATACACAGTATTTGATCTGAATCTTACAGGAAGCCTGTGATTTTGCAAGGCAGAAAAATAAGGGGACCATTTTAGTCCAAAAAAAAAACAAACATTGGAGTGTTTTCTCAAGTGAGTGAAAGAATATAACACTTATATAAAATGTAGTGTGGCCCAAGAGAGTCCTGCATCCATGTGTGGGGAGGAGACACGTGAGGGAAGAGAGAGGCAGAGCTCATGGTAGAAAGGTTGAGACCAGAGGATAAAGAATTCATGACGCCATGTTCAGGAATCTATTTTTATCCCACATGGTGAAGGACAAGAGGGGAGGAGAGAGAAGGATGCAGTGGTCTCCTGGATTATTAGGCTTTTCCATCATCCCACTGGACAGATCTGTGGGATTTCTTCTTAGTTATGATGTTATGCTGCTGAGAGTGGGTCTCCTTCTGTTGGAGGAAGAAGGAAGAATCCAAACAAACAAACCAACAAAACCTAAAACAAAAACCTGGCCACCTGGCCTCACTTAGCATATAGAATGTAGCCCTGAGCAAGAGAAGCCCCTCATATTTTAAACAATTGGATCACGATGAGTCTTCTTGCAGTCCATAACCACACCCATATTGTTGGGTAGCACAATATCAATCTCAGACACATGGTTAGATAAGCGTTATCTTTGGACTCACTCTCTTTTCTACTCCTAGTAATATTTTATTCTTGTTACTAAAATCACAAATAATGAAATCATGAAAGCAAATGCCCTCTTGAACAATCTGCAGTACTTGACATTCTGGACAACCTCTTTGTACTAGTTATGGGTCTCAGTTGCAAGCAACAGAAACAACTCTGGCTGGCTGATTTAAGGAGGAAGGGAAGAGAAGGAAACTGGGCAGCTCAAATAATCTAGGGGTGACGGTGGACATGGTGGATGGACAGGGAACCGAGCCTGGAGGCTAGGAAGCCAAGACTGAGTCCCCAAATCATGCTGGAGATGGAGCCAGGGGAACTGCTGCCACCCCTGGATGCCTACAATGTGGGTGCCACCAACACTGGGTGCACCTGCTGCTGCTGCCACCATTCACCGAGTGCACCCTGCAGCATCCCTAGCTTCTTGCTCAGAGCCTGGGCATGAGTGCTGACAGGCAGAGTCAAGGTTTGTGCCCCTGCTTCCTAGCTGCAAGGGAGGCCGTGGAGGTCATCAGGCTTTGCCTAATAAGACGAAGAATGCCCCAAACATAGCAAAGGGGCTCAGGTGCTGGAGAGTAAAAAAGAAAGCTAAATGTCCACTTCCTGTCTCCTTCTGAAAGTGTTTCCATGATGCTGCCTAGTCTGGTTCCCTCCTGCCTGTTTTTTTTTTTTTTTTTTTTTTTTGTTTGTTTGTTTTTTTGAGACAGAATCTCACTTTGTTGCCCAGGCTAGAGTGAGTGCCATGGCGTTAGCCTCGCTCACAGCAACCTCAATCTCCTGGGCTCAAGCGATCCTCCTGCCTCAGCCTCCGGAGTAGCTGGGACTACAGGCATGCGCCACCATGCCCGGCCAATTTTTTGTATATATATTTTTAGTTGGTCAATTAATTTCTTTCTATTTTTGGTAGAGATGGGGTCTCGCTCAGGCTGGTTTCGAACTCCTGACCTTGAGCTATCCGCCCGCCTCAGCCTCCCAAAGTGCTAGGATTACAGGCGTGAGCCACCGCGCCCGGCCATGACTATTTTGCTACTAGTTCTCTTCCTCATGAGGATAGCCCTTGTGGTACCATAGAAAGGCGTTTGATCCTTGTCCCTGGCTCCTGGCACAGAGCTCCTAGAACCCTTGTACTTTCCTGAGTGAC